CTGCGCACGAGGAGCTGCAGCAAACGCGCATCCGCATCGACAACCTCTCCTCCGAGCTCAGCCACCTGCAGAAGCAGGTGAGCCGCGGCCGCGGGCTCTCCCGCGGGATGCTCCCTTGTGGGAACGCTGCCCAGCGGGAATGCTCCCTTGTGGGGATGCTCGCTTTTGGGGATGCTGCCTTGTGGGGATGCTGCCTTGACAGGGATGTTCCCTTGCTGAGATGCTCCCTTTCCGGGGATGCTCCCTTCCTGCAGGATGCTCCCGTGCCAGGGATCTTCCCTTGCTGGGATACTCCCTTGCTGAGATGTTCCCTTGCTGGGATCTTCCCTTGCTGGAGATGCTCCCGTGCCAGGGATCTTCCCTTGCTGGGATGCTCCTTTGCTGGGATGTTCCCTTGCAGGGATCTTCCCTTGCTGGGATGTTCCCTTGCCGGGATGCTCCCTGGCTGGGGATGCTCCCTTGCTGAGATGTTCCCTTGCTGGGGTTGCACCTTGCACCCTTGTCAGGAATGCTCCCTTACAGGGATCTTCCCTTGCTGGGGATGCTCCCTTGCCGGGATGCTCCCTGGCTGGGGATGCTTCCTTGCCGAGATGCTCCCTTGCTGGGATGCTCCCTTGCTGGGATGCTCCCTTGCTGGGATGCTCCCTTGCTGTGGATGCTCCCTTGCTGGGATGCTCCCTTGCTGGGAATGCTCTCTTGCCGGGATGTTCCCTTGCTGGGGATCCTCCCTTGCTGGGGATGCCCCCTTTCCGGGATGTTCCCTTGCCGGGATGCTCCCTTGCCGGGATGCTCCCGCATGGAGCAGCCTCCCTCACCCCCTTCCCGCCCAGCTGGCCGCCAAGGAGGCCAAACTGCACGACCTGGAGGATGCCCTGGCCCGGGAGCGCGTGGGCAGCCGGCGGCTGCTCTCCCCGACAAGGAGCGGGACATGGCCGAGATGCGGGCGCGCATGCAGCAGCAGCTGGACGAGTACCAGGAGCTGCTGGACATCAAGCTGGCCCTCGACATGGAGATCAACGCCTACCGCAAGCTGCTGGAGGGCGAGGAGGAGAGGTGCGTGCGGGCCCCGGGTCTCCTCATGGCTTGTGCCGGCCTCAGCCCTCGCATCCTCACCAGCTCCATCCCACATTCTTCCCCTTCCCAGGCTGGGGCTGCCTCCCAGCCCCTCTTCCCAAAAAGGAGCATCCCGTGGGCACGGCGGCATCCACTTCTCCGCCCCGGGCTCCTCCAAGAAGCGGAAGCTGGAGGACAGCGAGAGCCGCACCAGCTTCTCCCACCACGCTCGGACGAGCGGCCGCGTGGGCGTCGAGGAGGTGGACCTGGAGGGCCGCTTCGTGCGTCTCAGGAACAAGTCCAACGAGGTGCGTTTAGCCTTGGGGAGGTCCCGCTGGCTTCACCCCACGGCAGCCTGGAATGGGGACCCGGGAGGGCTCACGGGTGCCTCTCCCACAGGACCAGGCCATGGGCAACTGGCAGATCAAGCGGCAGAACGGGGATGACCCCCTCATCACCTACCGCTTCCCACCAAAGTTCACCCTGAAGGCCGGCCAGATGGTCACGGTGAGTCGCTGCCCATGACACCACCGGGCCCAGACCCTGTCTCCAGAGCAGCCGGGAGCACTTGGAGGCGATGGGGAGCCGAGGATCCCATCGGGTTCCTCAGCGCGTGGCTCTGCCCA